ATTTGTCAATTGAGAGACTGTGTCAGATATGTCTCAGTTTATGCTACTAAAGCTGGGGGGGGGTCTTCTTTTGCCGGGGAGAACTGGGGTTTAAACTCAGGTCCTTGTGCTTGCCAGGCAAGCACTTATTCTACTGAGCCATCTCCCTGTCTCAGTTTACTCTAAATGGTGTTTTCCCCCTGTTGTTATACACTGATTTTAAAAATAATAAAAGGCTTTGCTTAGCTGTTTTGTTTTTTTTTTTTAAATAGGTTGATTTAGGCATAAGTTTTGTTCACTAGCTCCAGTTCACTAGCTCCAGATAAATTTAGTAAGTTGCTGGATGTGGTGAACACTCTATAATCCCAGCATTCAGGAGGCTAAAGCTGGAGGATTGTTGTAAGTTTGAGACCAGCCTAGGCTATAAACTGAGTTCCAGGCCAGCTTCAATGCATAGCAAGACCCTGTCTCAAAAGACATACATACATACATAAATTTAGTAAGCCATCATCCAAATTAAACGAAATATAAGTCTGTTCTATTCTAGTAGTTAAGATCGTGTTAGGGCCGGCCAGATAGCTCAGTGCATGAAAGCACCTGCTTAGGCAGATGCGGGGGCTGGGAGTTTGATCCCCAGGCTTGCCATGCCAGCCCCCATCCCCAGGGCACGCTGAGGTAGTGATTGAGACAGGGCATGGTGGTGCGCTTCTGTAATCCCAGCACTTTGGAGGCTGTAAACAGGAGGATCACTACAAGTCCCCTCTATGCACTGAGACCCTACACACCCTGTGCACCCTGTCCTAAAATACAAAAAAAAAAAAAAAAATGTTATGTTATACCAAAAGTATTTAATAACTTCCAGTTTCTGGTGGGAAGTTGAAAATCAGTGACTTTATATTATTGAAAGATGAGTTAGTGGTTTAGCTGTGAGACACTAATACAGTACAAGTGTACTTTGTCTTTGGTTAAGCCTTTGTGTTTGGAGTCAGTGCTCTCCAGTCAAAGCAAAAGATAATGTCCAAGTGAACCGGGTGCAGAAGGACTATACAATAAGTAGACAGATTTGGAAAGATGTTGCTCTTGATCCTCTTACTAGGGTAGTATGAAAAGAGCCACTTGGGGCTGGTGAGATGGCTCAGTGGTCTAAAGCACCTACTTAAAACAAACTTAGCAAAGCCCAGGGACCGCGGTTCAATCCCCCAGCACCACATGCCAGCCAGCCCGCCCCCTGGTGGGCTGAGCTGGCCACACACACAAATAAATAAATAAAATTAAAAAAAAAAAAAAGAAAGAAAAGAGCCACTTGATGTGGAAGACTAATAATAATCTCATTAACTGTAAGACCTTGGCTGAAAGTGTGACTTATCTTCATTGTATGTTTTTAGAAGGTAAGATTAAAACTTCATGTAAGTGTTCTTTTGTGACTGGCGTAACTGAAGAACTGAGTTACAAATTTTTGCAATTTATGTCTTAAATGTTTTGTATTTAGGTAGCCATGGGGCTAGTAGATACTGTGTTGAATGTAGAAGTTTTGTTTTTTCAGACACAATCTTGCTGTGTTTAGTTGGTTTTAAACTTACTATGTAGTCTAAATTGGCCTGGAACTTGAGGCAATTCTCCTGCCTCTGCCTCCCCAAGTGCTGGTATTTCAGGTGTATGTCACTATACCCAGCTAAGAGTTTTTGTACCTGCAGTGCTATTCTATTCTGTACTACTCCAGATCTTTCCTTATTCAGACTTTCTAGGGTAACATTGGTACTTGAGAAAAGAATTTAGAGACTTTGTCTTGGCCAGTTTGAAATATAGTTGTAATGATCAGAGATGACTTTGCCCTGTTATGTCATAAAAATATATCCCCCCAACATATACAGTACTAGGGGATGAACCCAGGGCTTTCTCATTGAGCTGCATTCCTTAACCCTTTTGAGTTGAGTTGAGTTTCAGGGTCTTTTTAAACCCAGGCTCAAATTGCACGAATTTGGCAATTTTATGTCAGCCTCCCAGCAAGCTGGGATCACAGGCGCATACCACCCTGCCCTACTAAAAGTTTGTTCTTGGTTTGCTGTAATTGAATAGCTTTTGATTATTTTTATGAACCTGAGTTTAGGTTCTGATTTTTTTTTTAAACTCATGAACTTATGAATAAAAGGTATAAAAAATAAATAAATAAAAATTTAAATATCTGGGCTGGGGAGATGGCTCAGTAGAAAAAGTGCTTGCCTGGCAGGTGCAAGGGCCTAAGTTCAATCTCCGGTTCCACCAAAAAATAAATAAATAAATAAATGAATGAATAAAAGGTATAAATCAAGTTTATCATAAAATTTGTTTTATTCTAATCACCTTGTTTTATATTGATCATTTGCCTCAGAAACCATAGCTAAAGGAAATGCATTGAAAAAAAGCTCTACTTGTCTAATTTCTTTTTCTTTTTTTTTTTTTGGCGGAACCGGGGATTAAACTCAGGCCCAGGGAAGCGCTTACTCCACTGAGCCATCTCCGCAGCCCCTTCAACTTGTCTAATTTCTTTGCTGCTTTTTTTAAAAGATGTGATGATGAGCACATTAGGTTTAATATAGATGCTGTCTTAAGATTATTCAAGGGAACATGTTGCTGCTTGAAAGAAGGTTGGTGGTTAGTTGGAAAAATACCTAAGACTAAACCAGAAGAAAATGAAGATGCTATGTTTTCCTTAGCTATTTGCATGTTGTTTGTGGTACATAAGGATGCTGTTCATTTGTGTCTTTTGTATAGGGTATGTCTCTGAACTTGGAACCAGACAATGTCGGTGTTGTCGTGTTTGGGAATGATAAACTGATTAAGGAAGGAGATATTGTGAAGAGGACGGGCGCCATTGTGGATGTTCCAGTGGGTGAGGAGCTCTTGGGCCGTGTAGTGGATGCTCTTGGTAATGCCATTGATGGAAAGGTGAGTTTTAATGTTCATTAGATTGCATTAAACATCAAAATTGAATAGTCTAAAGATTACTCTGAATTCCTAAAAAATCATTATTATTATTTTTTTTTTATAGGGTCCAATTGGTTCTAAGACCCGTAGGCGAGTGGGCCTAAAAGCCCCTGGAATCATTCCTCGAATTTCTGTGCGGGAGCCAATGCAGACTGGCATTAAGGCGGTGGATAGCTTAGTGCCTATTGGGCGTGGTCAGCGTGAGCTGATTATTGGTGACAGACAGACTGGGTAAAGACTTAACATGTTCTAAGTAAAATTATTTCTGCAAAGGGGCCGGGGAGATGGCTCAGTGGAATAAGCGCTTCCCTGGCAAGCGCAAGGGCCTGAGTTCAATCCCCGGTTCCACCAAAAAAAAAAAAAAGAAAAAAAAATTATTTCTGCAAAGATTATTGGAATGGTTAATCCTGTAGCAATTGTAGGCACAGTAAAATACTGTTTTAAGATTATTACTGCTAAAATTTCATACTGGGGATATCATTTGAAATGTTTAGTAACCATTACGTTTGTTCTTCTCTTTAAGGAAAACATCGATTGCTATTGACACAATCATTAACCAGAAACGTTTCAATGATGGATCTGATGAAAAGAAGAAACTGTACTGTATATATGTTGCTATTGGTCAGAAGAGATCTACTGTTGCCCAGTTGGTGAAGAGACTTACAGATGCAGGTATTTAAAGACTTAAGTTTCTTTTTATTTATTTTTACTTTGTGGCCAGCTCAGCCCACCTTGGGGGCAGGGCTGGTGCAGCATGTGGTGCTAGGGATCGAACTGCGGTCCCAGCTCTTGCCTAAGCAGGCACTTTAGACCATTGAGCTGTCTCACCGACTCAAAAAACTTAGTTTTGTTGCCATTATCTTTTTTAAATTTCATTGTCTTTTTTAATTTATTTCGTTGCCATTTTAAGTTGTATTGCTGCTAATCTTTGGTAGCTTCTACTTAGATGGCTGATTTTAATTGTTCCATGATAAATTGAACTTTCTAATGTAAATAAGCAAAAGAAAGTATAAAATACTAGTAAGTTTCAAGATTTTCTCTTGGTGTAGTGGTATATACTACTACACCCAGTACTCAGGAGACTGAGGCAAGAGGATCATGTGTTCAAGGCCAGTGTCAACTATATAGGGAGATCCTATCTCAAAAAGAAAAAGATTTTGCCTCTGTTTGTGGTTAATGTTCTTTGGTGTTGTGGATTAAACCTATGGCCTTTGCACTAAGCTGTACCCTCGTACTTTTTTTCCTTACTTTCCCAGGCTGGGCTCCAATTCTCAGTCCCCCTGCCTCAGTCTCCCAAAGTACTGCAATTACAGGAGTATTCCAGCATACTTTACTGACTGGCTAATTTTTTTTTTTTTTTTCCTGCGGAACCGGGGATCAAACTCAGGCCCTTGCGCTTGCCAGGGAAGTGTTTATTCTACGGAGCCATCTCCCCAGCCCCACTAGTTAATTATTAAAAGCAAATCTTTTTATCTCTTCAATAGTACTTTATAATAGTGGCATATAAATTTAAATATAACATACATGCACTTGTAAGGTGTGAAACTTTTTTCTCCTCAGATGCCATGAAGTACACCATTGTGGTGTCAGCTACTGCTTCTGATGCTGCCCCACTTCAGTACCTGGCTCCTTATTCTGGCTGTTCAATGGGAGAGTATTTTAGAGATAATGGAAAACATGCTTTGATCATCTATGATGACTTATCCAAACAGGTCAAAGAAACAATATTTTTATAATCTGTATTTGCAACAGAGACAAATACAGCTTCTTCTAGGTTGGTGGACCTCACAGTACTTTTCTCTCTCTTAGGCTGTTGCTTACCGCCAGATGTCACTGTTGCTCCGCCGACCCCCAGGTCGAGAGGCCTATCCTGGTGATGTGTTCTACCTGCACTCCCGGCTGCTGGAGAGAGCAGCCAAAATGAATGATTCTTTTGGTGGTGGCTCCTTGACTGCTTTACCAGTTATAGAGACACAAGCTGGTGATGTGTCTGCTTACATTCCAACGAATGTCATTTCCATCACTGATGGGCAGGTATTTTGTTTATTTTTTGTTAAGGAAAATTTCAAATCATGCAAAAGTAAGGTAGGATAGTGCAGCTTGATAAAGCTGGGAGTGGAGACACATGGTCTATAAGTCCAGCACTGAAGGGGCTGAGGCAGGACAATGGTTATTCCAGAACATGTGACACAAACATATATTTGTCACCCAATTATTTCATAGTAATAGTGTCCTTCGTTCTTGTTTCATGTATTCTCACTACTGTTTTCTTGTCCTAGATAATTTTGAAGGATTTCTCATTATGTTCCTTGTACTTATACTACATCTACGTTGCTTTTTTTTCCTCGTAAGCACATCTAATTTTAGCAATTAGAGTATGTAGGCTAATTTGAATTGTGAGAGATTTAAGGAACTCTTTTTTTTTTTTTTAATTATTT